TATATTACCCATATTATACACGAAGACAACTTACTTTACATTGATTTACTAGCTATTCTCTGAATGTTCCTTGAACACTTTGCCTAACCTACAATATCCACCATCATTATATATTCCTTATATGGAATGTCTATCTTCTTTCTGTTTATTATAATATTTATCACATCTCTTTGTTTTTTTTAAGTTTTATTGCCCTCTCTGCAGCCTTCTTGGTTATGAATCTCACTGTGGCCATAATTGATGCAGGTCATCTTGTTTTATCATTTATCATTTTATGTAGTGGTAGTTTTTCAAAATAAATTGTAATTCCCTTGATGTTTGGAACTATGGTTTATTATTTTTGTATACCATTGCATTTAAAAGAGTGATTTGCAAAATGCGTGTAGTTAATAAATACTGATTTTTGTAGACATTTTTTAATTTACCTAACTCTACTTTCAAGGTTGATATTACATGCATTTCTTTGAGAATGGTTCGCAGAAGACATAGATTTATCATGGCTCCACTCTTTCATCTGTGGGTTAAAGCTTTTCCTTACTTTGAGGATCTATTGAGAAGATACTGGCATTTTTTTTTTTTTTTTACTATTCTACCCCAATTTTAATAAAAAAGATGATTTATTGATTAATTTATACAGAATCCCAATATTTAATCAGTAATGGTCCTTACATGAATTTGATCTATGAAATATTATACTCTTTACAGTTTTATTTAACATTACTATGTCTGTTCAAAATACATAAAAAAAGTAAAACATAAAAATCAGATTTTTCAGCATCGGTGAATGCCATTTTATTTTCCAATTCCATTCCTAAATAGAAATTTTAATTAAAAATGCTTAATATTTTTTTCTAAATGAACTAAAAGTCTCATATTACGATACACATTAATTTTTTGGTGTGTACCTTGAGACAACAAAAATGAAGGAGAGATTAACTAGGTAGGTATTAAATATGTCAGCCCTGTCCAGTTTTCTCTGAACACAACTTTTGACACTACAAAACTTTAATTTTCTTCTGACATTTGACTCCAAAATGAAACCATTGTAGGTGGCTATGGGTCAAGAATGATTACAAGAAACTCTGGATGTTAAATCACGAGAGCCACGAATAAGAGATGACCTTAAATTTTAGTTTTCCAGGTTTTTCCTAATATGCACGTGTTTTAATGTATCTGTAGAGGTCAATTAGAGCAAATCCAGCCTTTGGGAAATGTTTTAAACTAGAGAATTATGTATTTTCTTCATATACTTTAATACCTGAAATATAACGATTTGTCTAGTCACCAAAATGTCCGTGAAAAATATGGTCTTGATTAATGGGCGAATTGATAGTTTTTACTGAATGAAAAATTAACCACGTATTTTAATATAAATTAACTAATTAATTTCAGGCTCAATTTCATTTTATTACAATGAATAGGTTATTATTTATTATACCCATTAGCAAATCAGTGTAAAATTATCCAGAAGTGTATTTGACATTTAAAGTGCTTACATCCTTCAAGTTTTGTCTTTTCTATAAACTTTTCCTCTGAATAGCAAATTTACTACAAAGACAAGTGAGGGGAATTATTTAAATAATAATTGGCAGACATTTCTCAAACTGTCTGATATCTTTAAATTCAATTTAAGGCAATGAAGTCATTCTAAAATTTTATATTGTCAATATTGTCAGTGTTCTGTACCTACTGTACAAGAAGCCCTTGGTTTTTATCCATTATTCTGCTGTGTATTCATATTTTATCAGTTTAAGAGGAACAGAAGTGAGGTTGATAAGCCTCTTCCTTTAGAAATTTACATTTAAATAAGGTAGAGAATTTAATTAGCAATCATGTAGATTTCATTTGTTTAGTGAAAATGCCTACTGACCAAAGATATTTATTTGGTGATACCATAGAGGAGGCTATCAAAGAAGATGTGTAAAGTTATTGATATATTAGTTTTGCTTTGAAGATAGAATGTAGCCAGCTATGTGGACATGTGAGAAAGGGAGAGAAAGGCAGAGGAAATAGTTTGAGCGAATACACACAGTTGCAGGAAAGTGAGTCCGTGGAGAGAGGGCAGGGAGAACTAATAATGATGGTCTCTAGCTGCAGAACATTAGGAAAGAGTAATTGGAAATAAACTTGGAAAGGTAAGTTTTCCTTCAATTAAAATTTGTATAATAATTAACTAATTGGATTAAGCAAACCCACTCTGAGGACTTTTGAAACAAACAGGTGAAATTAAACAGTTTTAGAAACTTATGCATGCAGCACCCTGAGAAATACTTCATGGAAAGAAAGCTTGAAGAGGTACAAGTCAGAAAAAGAAATATAGAATCTGATATATCACTCTCTTGGATTAAAATAAACATCTCACATTAAAATTAATGAGTCCATGTATTAGGGGAAAAGTGTTGGAAATAAATAAGAATGCATACAAATGATATTTCAGAGGCTATATCTCTAAGACTTGAAAATTCATTGATGATGACCAAAAATGGAATATGAACAGCAGGCATTTTTGGTGGAAGGGGAATGGGTTCAGTTTGCACATAGAAAATTTGAAATTAAAATATGCTATCCAACTGGATTCTAGCTGAAGTTTGGAAATCATAGGACTAAATTTTATTATTTTTTAAAAAATTTTTTTTTTAACGTTTATGTATTTTTGAGACAGAGAGAGACAGAGCATGAACGGGGGAGGGTCAGAGAGAGGGAGACACAGAATCTGAAACAGGCTCCAGGCTCTGAGCTGTCAGCACAGAGCCCGACGCGGGGCTTGAACTCACGGGCGGCGAGATCATGACCTGAGCCCAAGTCGGATGCTTAACCGACCGAGCCACCCAGGCGCCCCTATATAGGACTAAATTTTAGAACAGCGCACACTAAAGATCCAAAGAGAAAAGGAAATAGGATAAATATCCTAAAGGACAAAGAAGAGGGAGAAAAAAAAAAAAGAAAGTGGAACAGAATGGCAATTCCCTTTTTATTTTCAGCCATCCGTCTTTCCTGCCTCCTTCCTTTCTATCTGTACATATGCTCAGATCTTCCCCAATTTATAAAACCCCTGACCACATGCCCAAAATTGTGGATCCCCAAAGCCCCAGCCATCTCTTCAGATTCAAGTTTACTTACTATATGGGCAATCTCAATGTACTTAACTTTTGCAATTTGCCTCTGAGCCCATTACACTTAAACTAAATGCACCAAGAGGATTAGTTATTCTTCAGAAGGAAAAGTCCCCCTCTGTGAATTCTCATTGGAATTGGCCTTGTTTATATTTTTAGACATTCTCTTGTCCCTTGGTTCTACTAGTTTTCTTCCTATTCTTTCTAACTTCTGTGCTTTTCTTAATCTATTCTCCCTGAAATGTTAGAATTACTTGAACACTCATTGAGCCCCTATATGTACCAAGCACTCTTTGAGAATAAGGAATTATAAAAAGAAACTGGACCCAAGACCAAGAGGAGAGAAGAAAACCATGTAAGCCAGCCTGGTTCCCAGAAAGGTGTCCTGAAAAAAAGGGAATTTATCCCTCAATGATGAAGAGTACAAGGAAACATATTTTAAAGAGCTTAAACATGTACCACAAGTCTTTCTTGATAAATACTTTCTTCTTTTCTTATGTTTTTGATTCTACATTTCATTTCTCTAGTTGTTTTCAACATGGTTAAGTTACACTTTTAGCCTAATTCCATTTTTTGAAATTTCGAGGGTCTGTCTCTCCTTTTGGATGTTGTAATTGACTCTTGCTCATAGTGCCTTATTTGACCATGGTTTTTATAATGTTAGAATATGAGTTTAGGTTAAGAAGAACTTCATTTACAAAAATCTTAGGCCATGTGGAAGCGCCTGTGTGGCTCAGTCTAAGCGTCGGACTCTTGATCTCAGCTCAGGTCTTGATCTCTAGGTTGAGTTCAAGCTCCACATGCTAGGCCTGGAGCCTATTTAAAACAGCCAACCAACCAACCAACCAACCAAACAAACAAACAAACAAACAACTTAACTCTCTTTATCACTGCCTTTCTGCTAATGGGCTGATTTATTGTATCCCCTTCTCGTTTCCTAAGGGTGAATTTTATTCTGGCCCAGTGTTATCTGGTGTTCTATAGCATCCCCTCTTATAGACAAGTTTTGATCCTATGTTGGTACTATCTGTGCACCTTTTGGTTACTACCATCCACAGATTGTCAGTAGCACTTTATACTCTGGCTTTTAGATTTTTTTTTCTTCATTTTTCTTCCCCCTTGAGACTCCATTACCTTACTGAAAGCTCAGATAATGCATGCCTGGAAGTAAGAGATGGTGGAATGGGTTTGGGATGTAGTTACATTATCTTGTCTACCATATTATTAGAAACACGTCTTTCAATTTGTATTAAACTATAATTCTAATTATCTTCTAACATGTTAGACTATTCAGCTATTTTAGTTTCAAATTTGACAATAAACTTATTAAACAGCTCCTCTATTTTATTGCCATTGTCCTCGTTCCTTCACTTAATTCATTTATCTTGTGAAAATAGTGTTTATTCATGTTTCTTATGCAATATTTTTCCTTCTTTCATGGAAATAATTTAGTAGGTAGCCAAAATGTAGTTAATTTATGTTTCTATTGTTACAATGATGGTATAGGATTTCGAATAAGATTCCAAATATTAGGCAAAAATTTTCTGTAGTTTTTGCCCAATGTGGTAGCACGTATATGGCCAAGAATGTAAATATGGAAGTGATTATGCATTTAGTCATTTACTTGGGAAATAAATTTCAACATGTTAGGTTAATTAAGTGCTCTATTTGGTCTAGTTGTAAATTGTATACTAATGTAACAGACATAATGTTGTTTGATTTTTATAATTAGATTGTATTTTATAAAAGTTCCATTTCTTTTTACAGGTAATAAAAATTTACAGGAAAATAGTTTCTGTTTGGATCATGTAGTTTATAGATCATGTGATAAAATCTTAGAATTTATGTTTAAAACCATACTTAATTATTATTTACATTTTTTTTCAGCTCTTCTTCAAGTGACAATTTCACTTAGCAAAGTAGAGCTTAGCGTGGGTGAATCTAAATTCTTCACATGTACAGGTATGTATGTGTACAAATATTTTAAGATGATTACTTGTTTTGGCTTTAATTAATATTATACATTGGCAAAATTTAAATAGTGAAAAATAATTCTCTAAAAATAAAATCTTATAATACCACTGGGCTTCTGATGATGGAAGGTGTTAGCCATATTTTACATATTAAAAACTATGGAGTTTATTTCTGTTAATTTCAAATTATTAATTTTGACCATCAAACTAGCTCACTTATTTTGAAAATAACTTATCAAATAAAATATATCCACAATAACTTAAATAAATTCAAATGTTATTCCTGTATAAATAATAATATTAGGATGAATATAAATATTATAACTGAATTACCTTTATAAATATGCAATGAATAAATTAGATATGGCACACTGCATTATAGCTATACCTGAATGAAAACTTTCAGACAAAGCAAATCAAATCTGTCCTTATGAAAAGTGAATTAAAAAAAGATATTTAATCAGCAAAACTTTGGCAAGAATTTTATGACTATTAATCAAAAGTATCATATAATACCTGTGGGCAATTATATGGACCTCATTTAGTTTAATCATGCACATGCAGAATTTTTTCAGAAGACATTTAAATACTTAAGCGACAAATTCTAATTTAGCGTACTGTAGAAGTCACAAATGCACACATTGTACTTCTATTTATAGTCATCAAATTCATTTTTATGCATGCAAGCCTTCATACGTAAAGTTATGAAAAATATTCACATACGGTGGCTGGGGTGGCTCAGTTGGTTAAGCGGCTGACTCTTGATTTCAGCTCAGGTCATGATCTCACAGTTCACAGGACAGAGCCCAGTGTTGGGCTCTGTGCTGAGCATGAAGCCTGTTTAAAATTCTCTCTCTCTCCCCCGCTCCCTCTGCTCCTACCCCATTTGTGCTCTCCTCTCTCCTCTCTCTCTCAAAAAAGATAGAAAGTTATAACATATTTATAAATCATATATAATACATTATAATATATATTACATTATAGTATGTATATATAATATCACATCTTATGAAAAACTAGGAGGGCATGATTCTTCATATTTTGCCTTCCTAAAGGTCTAACTAAATTGATAGGTCTGTTGATACATAATTTTGCATATTGACAAGTAGAAAGGAAGACAGCAAGTGAGGTATTGGTTCAATATCACTTATTATGTCAGCAGAGCTTTGGAATAAGAATGAAGATCATTGTTTTTAAATCTTATCCATATTTTATATACACAAATGCACAGATGCACATACATAGCTCAATTGTGTAACATATTCACAGAATAATTAAATAGTCTAAAAATTAAGTTTGAAAATGACATTGTATTATTTTCTTAGATTCATTATATATAACATATATATAATATATATGTTTATGTTTTATATATATATATGTTATGCACTACATACTGTTATTACATCTGTAGGTATTACATAAGGTCAAAGTAAGGAATAATTTAAAAGAATGAATTAACATCATTCAATGATACTACGTTTTGCTCTTAAAATAAGGCAAAATAATTAAACATCTTTTTTCCTTTTATACAAAGATGTATAACCAAGAGCCATATTGTTATTGTGGAAGCAGTCTTATATATGTTAAATACACAATAGTGAAACAAGAATCTAAAAATAAAGATGCTAGAAACCCTTGCAACCCTTCCATATATATATATATATATATATATATATATATATATATATATGGAAGCTTTCCGGTTTGCAAATATATATATTTTTTATATATAAATATATATATTATATATTTTTACAAAATATATGTATAATATATATCATATATATCATATATATATTTACAAAATATATGTATAATATATTTTATTACAAGGTTGACTAAGTTGATATGACTCTAAAGTTTCCTGACACTAGAACATAGACATCTAAATCCAGTAAAATAAATGTCTTAAATTTACACTAGAAGGGAGTCAGACCTTCAGAGAGCTAAATAAGATTATGTCATAATTAGCAAATGAATTTGTACTCCACATTTTTAAGAAAATAAAAATTGTAATGTTATTTATTAGTATATCCAGTAGTTCAGGATTAATAAAAAATATGAAAAGTTTTAAAGGAAATTATTTATTAGAGATGTCATCAAAAGAGAATCATGATAGGGTGCCTGGGTGGTTCAGTCAGTTACGCGTCTGACTTCGGCTCAGGTCATGATCTCATGGCCTGTGAGTTCGAGCCCCTTGTCAGGCTCTGTGCTGACAGCTCAGAGCCTGGAGCCTGCTTCAGATTCTGTGTCTCCTCTCTCTGTCCCTCCCCTGCTTGTGCTCTGTCTCTCAAAAATTAATAAGCATTAAAAAAAATTTTTAAAAAAGAGAATCATGACTGCTCTATGAAAATCCAAAATAAACTCTCCATGAGAATGAAATTTTATACCATATTATCAAGAGTGAAAATATCTAAAATATTTCACAGAATGTCCTATATAATTTACTGTATAAAATGAAAGTTTATATTGTTCAAATTTAAAATGATGCTCATTTAAATTACTCATTTGTACTTCTTTATGGAGATGGGAATTAAAACAAATACTTCCCCTAAATGAGTTATCCCGTAACCACTGTGGTTTTATAGTTCTGTCCAGAAAGATCTGAAGATAACATAACTAAGATCCATTTAATATTTAGCTAAACGTTCTTTCATACTTTTGCTCCAGCATGTCTAATTTGATATGGAAAACACAATAATTTGTTTCTAAAGCCATTTCTTGGGAAAAGTATAAGAAGGAACAATGTTCTTCAAAGTGGTCCTGCAGATGTTAGCATTTCCCCTTTATGCATTTCCCCTGATACTTTTGAGTTAATAGCACATACCGCTTCCACAAATTATCCTTCAAGTAATTAGGTGAAATACATCCTTTTTGTCAGTAAAAGCAAACTTTGGAAGTTTCAGCTTTTACGAAGAGGATAATAACCTGGATTCTGAATTGGAAAACTTAAATAAATGTTTACCTTGTAATGATTTGGTTGTAATTGCCTAGCAGTATAAGTATCATTTCAATGCATTCTAATTATCATGTGATTAAACAGTTAACAGTTTTAGATTAAAATGATGAAACTATTCATTTTAGTTGAGAAAAGAGATTAGGGCTCCATTTTAAAAATAGTCATTGGCCTTATCTGTACAGGTTTAACAACTTGGGGAATTAATTCCAAATTCAGTATTATCAAAAGCCAAAGTTGATTTTGCGTAATATTTACATTTTTATGAGCTGTGCTTTATCAGGGAAAAAAGTACTGTCTCCTGACCCTAGCAAAGAGACTTGGGAACAGGTGAAATCATGTTAGTAATTGTGTTTCTGGTCAGATTATCTATCACATATAATTTATGTCTGACACAGTGGCCAAGGCAGTTTCATAACTTAACTGTAGTAATAGTTCATAGATTGCTATGGTAAAGTTTCAACTATCAGGGCTGAAATTCCATACTGGAAGTTTCCTATAGAACTTTTGGGTTTTGCTTACGCAAACAGGGCTGAATTGTCAACATTGGATAAATAAGGATGAACATGTGTGCTAACATTTGTGTTTACTTTCAATTTTGTAAGATTTGAGACTTCCAGCCTTCTCTTATTTACATTTTTTTCTAAATTGTTAAAAGTTGTTACATAATAGTAAATGTCAATGCCAAAACAAACACTTGAGACATATTTTCAAACATTTCTTTTCCATGGCTCTCTGCAGCAATTGGTGAACCTGAGAGTATAGATTGGTATAATCCTCAAGGGGAGAAGATAATTTCAACACAGAGGGTGGCAGTGCAAAAGGAAGGTGTTAGATCACGATTAACCATCTACAACGCAAATATAGAGGATGCAGGGATATATCGTTGTCAAGCAACAGATGCCAAAGGACAGACACAAGAAGCTACAGTTGTATTGGAAATTTACCGTAAGTTATGCATTTATTAGTTAATTGAATTTGTGGTTGTATAAAAACTTGAACATAATGCATTTAGTAAAAATTAACACCCATTATAACTATGTGCTAGATACTGTTGTAAGACCATTGCAAGTATCACTTTATTTATATTTTGCCATGGTGCATCTCTAAAATGGAATCGATAATAGGAAATAGTTTATTATAAATATAGATGGAGCCAATTCTCTTGGTAAAATAATAGAAATGAAAATGTTTTCATGTTCTCCAGCCATTAAAAATCTATTGGGTAAATAGAAAACAGTAGATTATTTAGTGTTAGGAAATTTATCAGAAGTAGTTTTTCACTCTAAAATAAAAGGTCAGGATTAGAACAAGTGACGTTACATATATGATAGCAGTGACCAGTCTAGAATGAGAATTGAGGGTCAGTGAACAGGAGTAGACACAGAAAAGCTGGAAATTCATCTAGTGGAGAATAATATCTAGCTGGATTCTTCACCAACAGAATTTTCTTTAAGATGATTTTCCATATTTACACTTGATTTTAGGAATTAAGATTGACAGTTTTCTATATTCCTTCCCCTTTCTTACATATAGGAATCATGTTTTTTTTTTTTAATATGAAATTTATTGTCAAATTGGTTTCCATACAACACCCAGTGCTCATCCCAACAGGTGCCCTCCTCAATACCCATCACCCACCCTCTCCTCCCTCCCACCCCCCCATCAACCCTCAATTTGTTCTCAGTTTTTAAGAGTCTCTTATGTTTTGGCTCCCTCCTTCTCTAACCTTTTTTTTTCCTTTCCCTTCCCCATGGTTTTCTGTTAAGTTTCTCAGGATCCACATAAGAGTGAAAACATATGGTATCTGTCTTTCTCTGTATGACTTATTTCACTTAGCATAACACTCTCCAGTTCCATCCACATTGCTACAAAAGGCCATATTTCATTCTTTCTCATTACCATGTAGTATTCCATTGTGTATATAAACCACAATTTCTTTATTCATTCATCAGTTGGTGGACATTTAGGAATCATGTTTAAGAATACTATGAATGAAGCCTGTTGACTCCTTAGGGGTGAAACCAGGCTGTATCACTTAATTTTGTGGCCTTGAGCAATTGCCTAACCTCTCTGTCTTCAGTTTCATCATCTATAAAATGGAATAATAGGAGCGCCTGGGTGGCTTGGTCGGTTAAGCGTCCGACTTTAGCTCAGGTCATGATCTCACGGTCCGTGAGTTCGAGCCCCGCGTCGGGCTCTGTGCTGACAGCTCAGAGCCTGGAGCCTGTTTCAGATTCTGTGTCTCCCTCTCTCTGTGCCCCTCCCCTTTTCATGCTCTGTCTCTCTCTGTCTCAAAAATAAATAAATGTTAAAAAAAATTAAAAAAAAAATTAAATGGAATAATAGTAGTATCTACCTCTTACATAGAATTGTTTTGAGCACTACATTAATTAATATTGTATAAAGTCCTTAGAAAAATGCCTCACAATTCATGTGTGATAGTATTTTTACCACATATTAACGAAAAATATGTGAAAAATTACAAATTTTTGAAATAATAACTCATAAGTCACCCCCTTCCTACAGCTTTATTGTTATTATTATTTGGGAGATATGACATGAGAAAAAAAGGCAAAGTGTTCCCATGCCATGACTTCCTTTTTGATGTGCAGGGTAATTTTTTGGAATAGTATTGTCCTCATTTTTCCTGATTTAGACTCCCCCCACTCCTTTTAGTTTCTAAGCTCCTTAAGAAAAGGTAATATATTTGTTTATGTGATTCCTACTGCACCTATTTGATAAGTAGAAAAAATTAAATTGAAGCTATCATTTCATGGACATAATATTTTGAAAGATTTTTCATTACTTTGAATGATGCAAAGGAAGGTGGCTGGTGTTTTGTTTGTATACTAAAGAAATGACTTTTTTTTTTCCTGGCAAGAACAATGAATAACTTTTGTGAAAATTTCTCAACAAGCATAAATATCCATGTTCATTCATTCATTCAACACACTTACTGGGTATCTACTACATAACAGACAATATTCTAAGTCCTAAGGAGTGGTAACTAAAACAGAAAATGTCACTGGCTACTTGGTACTTATATTTTAGTGAGCGGAGAAACACAACCAATGAATGAGCTTAGAAAAATACGTGAATGCTAGATATCCATGCTGTAGAATTCTATAGTGAAGGAAATAAGGGGTAAAGAGAGGAGTTGAATGGGGGAAGGGAGATGGTTATTTTACTTGTGAAGGTGCAGCAGAAATCTGAAGGGATTCAAAGGAGCACAGATGGCCAAGGATGAGAACAAACCTGGAGTGTTCAAGGAATTGCAAAGAAGACAGTTAGTCTGGATCACAGGGACTGGGAAAAGAGAGAAGATACTGGGATTGGAGTTGGGGAGCTGACTCCAGTTCACATAGGACCTAGTCTGGCATCGCGAGGACTTTGACCTTTCTTCTCGGTGAGATGGGAAGTTCTCGAGTAGAGGAATCACATTATCTGGAATCAGGTTTTAAAAGATCTAGCATTAACTAATGATTTTATTGCAGCATCAATCCACACACAGATTTTGGAATATTTTATTGGGAGAAGTGAGCAATAATACTTTTACGGTTTGTTTTACTTTCTTGATGCAGAAAAACTCACTTTCAGAGAAGTGGTATCTCCTCAAGAATTCAAACAAGGGGAGGATGCAGAAGTGGTTTGCCGAGTTAGCAGCTCACCTGCCCCTGCTGTCAGCTGGTTGTATCATAATGAGGAAGTCACCGCTATTTCCGACAGTTAGTATTTTGGTAACTCCCTAAATTATATGTTCTAATAATATTGCAATTTTTAAAGAGACTGAATCTACCTGACTGAATAGAGAAATTTTATTTTTTTTTATCTCAAGTATCAAATGGTTTTGAGAACCTTCCAGCTCTAAAGTAGGTGTTGGCAAACCATGGGTCTTGGGCCACAGTCAGCCTCTCTGCTGTTTTTGTATGGTGTCATGGGGTTATAGCCAATCCTGACCATTACACAGTTTGCATGGCTGCTTTGGGGACAGGGTTGAACAGCTGTGATACAGATGATGTGGCCTACAAAGTCTACGATACTTATCACTGGCAGATTTCCAGAAAAAGTTTGCTTACCCCTATCCTATTCAAGAAAAACTTAGTAAAAACTGTAGAAGGGTAATAAGTAAATGAAAGAATTAATCCCGATGCATTCAAATTCTATATATTACAGTTTATACATGATCCCATGGGCTACTCTGTAATCTTAAAATAATAACCATATGAATCCTATTTATTATTCTGGCACTGTTCTCTCAAAGACACCTACATGTTCTAAATATTATGGTATGATGCATATGGATAATAGACAGAAAAGTACATTCATTCAAATTGTCTTCATAATTTTGATTCAGACTGAGCTAAAATTCCAGAATAATATGACATCTGAAATTGAAAGCATAATTTGCTTACATTATGCTATTTTACCATTGTGCATTGGGAGCATTTTCAATTTAGAATATTTTTCAATGCACCTGCATTGCAGAGAGATACGAAATAATTGAATCTTTTTAAATACTTTCCATCTTGGATGATTCCGTTGTGTGTTTCTAAGAGATAAAACTTTTAGAGCATAAAGGAGAGAAAGCAGATAGTATCTATTTTTGAGTATGTACAGAGAATGTATCATAATCATGTTTAATAGTCTTTTTTTAATTTTGAGATAATTTTTCTGGTCTTGGCATTTTCAGTGCTTGTCAGTTATCGACTAACTCTCTTTTTCTGTATTATAATAGGTGAGAAATGGTACTTTATTTCCTCTTATTTTATTTTAGGACAACTGCTTTATATTTTATTAACATATCACATGAGTACATTGTATAATGTATTTTCAGCTATTTTACCCTCAATAATAAAGAAAAGGCAGTTCTTGTATAGACGTTAAATGACAATGTCTAAACATTTTCACATTGCCTCATCTTAGGCTTCAAGTGTACATCTGGTTTATTGTAAACCTTAATTACAAGAAGGTTTTGAAATGAAGTATAGTTTTTATTTTTTTATTTTTATTTTTTTAACGTTTATTTATTTTTGAGACAGAGAGAGACAGAGCATGAACGGGGGAGGGTCAGAGAGAGGGAGACACAGAATCTGAAACGGGCTCCAGGCTCTGAGCTGTCAGCACAGAGCCCGATGCGGGGCTGGAACTCACGGACTGCGAGATCATGACCTGAGCCGAAGTTGGCCGCTTAACCGACTGAGCCACCCAGGCACCCCTGAATTATAGTTTTTAAAAGACACATGGAACAAAAGCCTCAAAGCCAGGACTGATAGTCCAGTGTGATGGTGTTGGAGGAGCCCTGCTTCTCTGCCACAACTCACACACTTTTCTCCAGTATGCAGGGACGGACGTATTTGAAGGTAGAATTCGATTATGGCTCTACTCCTTGGCCGTGATGCTTTGAATAACTTTTCTAACTGTTCTCTAATTCAGATTCTGTATGTGTAAACAGTGGGTTATTATCTCTATTTTAAACAATGCTTGTGAGTTTCAAATAAGACTTTAGGCATATAATAAATATTTGTTAAATGAATGAATAAAATTTTTGTGTGTATATCAGGTTCTCAGCAAAATGACATTGATCTTTCTCCTTCCTTCTCATTGAGTTTTTAAATGTTGAGAAGAAGTTTTACCAAAATTATAGACACTCAGGTTTTATCTAGAATAAAAAAAATCCCATGTAAGTGAAGGGACTAGTCTAGAGTAAGCATGAAACCTGGATCTGAATTGCATGGCAAGCAAAGAAAAGAAATGACATCTTTTTTTTTCTTTTTAATTCTAGGACATAAAGGAATTAGGTGAATTGTGAGGAAGGGCAAGCTTTTCTAACCTTTTAATATCAGAGGAACCTGCCACGTAGTTTATTGTTGGACAGCTTGTACGTTCATAATGAATTTACAAGAAGTAATATTCTTCATCTGATTATACCTTGTATGATCCCTTTATTAAAGCTGATGGAATAAGATTAGGTTTATAGGGGCGCCTGGGTGGCTCAGTCGGTTGAGCGTCTGACTTAGGCTCAGGTCATGATCTTATGGCTCGTGAGTTCGTGCCCTGTGTTGGGCTCTGTGCTGACAGCTCAGAGCCTGGAGCCTGTTCCCGATTCTGTGTCTCCCCCTCTCTCTGCACCTAACCCACTCGCATTCTGTCTCTGTCTCTCTCAAAAATAAAGAAACATTAAAAAAAATTTTTTTTAAAGATTAGGTTTATAACCTTGAAAGGAACATATAAGGGGATTTAGAAGAATATGGTGTATCCAGGTAACTTTCTGAAGCCTTAATGTGGTGCGTGAGTAAAGTTTGCAGGCTCTAGATGAAATAATGAAGGCTTGGAAATGTCCATCTTATTAGCCATGCTTTTGGTAGCAGCTGTATGGCAGGTATTCTTAATTAAAATTCCAACAAAATATTCTGAGTGGAGGTCCTTTCCATGCTACTTGCTGAAAATAACCCATCTGCTAAATAACCTAAGCATTTAGGAAGTAAAGGTGGCATTTTGTTACAAAAGTTGAAAATCCTGACTTTTAGGATCCCTCAATGGAGGGATATGATATCGCAGATGCCTGTTTCAACCTCAGCCAGTTTGAAAGTTATTTCTAAAATCTTCTAAGTGCTTTGACCATTGCCAAATGATTGCATCAAAAACTGTGGATAAAATCATCTTGTTCAATATTTTTTATGTAATCTTCCTCCAGTATAGAAATTCATTCAATTTTGAACTAGTTGTTGAAAACCTACTATGTGCCATCTAGCATGCTAGATGGTTGTTATTCATAGTTAACTCGATAAACAAGTTCACTGCCTTCAAATGCTGATAATCTAGTAGAAAAGATTAATAGAGAAATCAGTGAAAACAAAGTATGTTGAAGTCTATGAGAAGGAAAGTGTAATGATAGAAGATAATAAAGAAAGAATACCTCAACTAGTTAGGGCAGAGGTGGGAGTCCAAGATGCCTGTTGAATAGAGAAGTAACACTTAAGTGGTGGGGACTTGTCAGGAGGGAGATCATCTGCAGTGGCCTGGAGGTGAAAGATACCATGAATGGTGCTCTAGAACCTGGAATAAGTTTATTATAATGAAAATTTATGAATAAGTACAACTGGAATACTTATACTAATAGATAAATATAAACTAGGGTTGGTCATAAAGAACTAATAAGATAGGAGACTGAAAAGGAAGGTTGACCCGAGTCATAATGACCCTGACATCTCTGCTAAGGAATTTATCTAAAAGCAACATCACTAAAGCATTTTAATCAGAGCAGTAACATGACCTGATATGAATTTGGGAAGGATATTAGTGCTTCAGTGAGAAGAATGAGTTGGATGGTAGTCAAAGCAAAACTCCAGGCATTGATAACAGTTCAAACCCTAATGAAATAATTGCTGAAGGAGAAGGAGATTTAGACTAAGTAATGATAAAGGGGGAAGTGACAGGACATGGGATTTAATTGGATATGCAGATGGACGGAGATGGAGAAGTGAAGGATGATTCAAGGAATTGGACTCGGGCAAGTAGTTCAATGTACAGACATGCTAAGACAGAACTGGAGAGACCATATGAGAAATTTCAGGTGGAGATAGTACAGTGAATTTTAAGTTTGCTGAGATGAAAGTATTTCCAACCCTTTTCAGTAGGTACATCTGCTATACTGTTACAGACTTTTCTAATTCAGGTAATGGTCTTGTCTGAAGAAAAATTGTGAGACTCAAAATATAGATGGTAATTGAAGCCATAAGAGTAGATGAGACATATCATCAGTGGCTGGGGAATGAGAACAAAAGAGGGCTAGAAAATAATCTGCCTAAAGAAGCATAAAGCAGATCACTTACTGAGTATTACATTTTTTCATTTATTTTTTAATGCAATAATGAAATTAAAAAAAAAACCACGAAAGTTCTGTATAATTGAGAGAAGCTAATAACCTCTAATAATCAAATAGTCCTGATATCCATAGTTATGTGTAATTGATTGAAGCAGTGCTTTCTTCAAGTGTTTTCTTCAAGCACATATTCATGATGTACTTCAGTTTGATAGTTCATTATATCATTCCATGGACTTGACACCCATATCTACAATTTGACATGCAATTTTCACATGGTTTGTTTTCTGTATGGAAGCATTGGGATGTATTTACATTTAGCAGGTAACTACTATTTTTCTAATGTTCTAATAACTTCTCTCAGACAGTAGAAATACTATATTAAAGTGGCCATTTGATTAAAAGTTTACAATTAGAAGAAAGATTGATTTATTCCTATCAAAATATGTATTATAGACATTCAAGTCATTTTCCTTTTTATATCAAATATTGCCTTCCTGATTAAAATAATTCTTCTGCTTACTAATTTTGTAACTAAGTATCCTATAAGTGTTAAAGAACATTATAGTTAAAGGATAATACATATTTTAGTAATTTAAAAATACTACAATAATCAAGGTATAATTATGGGCATCCCTAAGTTTGAACTATTACAATTTATAATTGCTTCTCATTCTAATTTCCAGCCACATGCTCAAGTAGAGGCTCTTTTAATTGACTTTGAAACGTTCTTAATTTTTAGGAGTTCTGAGTTATTCCAGGACTTCTTGTGAGTTAAACTTTAAAATTTCTTGAGGATTCTTTTTCTCCAGGCTTTTCCTAGAGAAAAGGAAAATTTACCAGGGAAAGCGTATGTATAAAAATTTGTATCTCTCTTCTTTGGGTCAACCTAAAGAAGAAATAAATATTATGGGAAAGCTTGTATACTAGTCCCTCCATGTCCACAGGAGATATATTTCAAGACTCCCCAGTGGCTACCAGAAGTACCAAACCCTGTATATACTTTTTTTCTAAAAAAAAAATGTGCTTATGATAAAGTTTAATTTATAAATTAGGCATTTAACTTATAAATTAAGAGATTAACAGCAATTACTAATAATGAAATAGAACAATTACAACAATTTTATTGTAATGAAAGTTATGTGAATGTGGCCACTCTCTAAAAATAGCTTATTGTACTGTACTCACCCTTTTTCCTTTGATGAGGGAATATGATACAATGCCTACATGATGGGATGCAGTGAGGTGAATGACATAAGCATTGTGATATAGTTCTGGTAAGATGTCCTAAGGAGGATCATCTGCTTCCGGGCCACGGTTGACTGAAGGTAAATGAAACTGCAGAAGGCAAAGCCATAAATAAGGGGGACTATTGTCCTTCCTGAGCTGAAAATCATGTGTCTCTTGCTTTACAATCAATATTTTCTATTTCCGGGGGCCTCTGAATCTACCTATTTCCGCTCTTTATTAATTATCTCTTCCTTACCTGTATTAAGCGCAGTCTTCTCATATTCTGATCACTCTCCTATTTGTATTTGTAGTCCAAACTAGAATTGGTATGGCATTAAGAAATTGTATTAAGGAATCACTATGGCAAATGAATCCCAAATCTGAATCGAACCCAAAACAACCTAATATAGCAGATTATGTCCAGTCGGCAGCCCCAGCCATCCATTCAGTGGTCCAAGCTGAGGGAAGCTGTACCTTTTTCTCATGCGGCTTCCATGTTTACCCTACCTGTCTATCAAGCCAGCAGATAGGGGAAGAGCAGTAAACATTGGAATAGGTCCAAAAAGTAACCTTTAATGGTATAACAGTAAATACCCTGGAGGAGAGCACCTTAAACTAATGCCATTTCTACTTTACCAAAAGGTACAACGGGGTCGAGGATGTCTCTCTCATATTTACCAAAGTATCTCAAATACTATGCATACCAAAAAGGTGATGTTCAATGATATATTAACTGATGAAATTTAAGATATTGCTTTTACAACATGTTTCAAAATGGACTAGATGTGAGAATATTGTTTACTTGATAAGAAGAGAAAAGGTCCTAACACTGCAACAAAATTGCCATGACTAAAAAAACAGACCAGGGGCGCCTGGGTGGCGCAGTCGGTTAAGCGTCTGACTTCAGCCAGGTCACGATCTCACGGTCTGTGAGTTCGAGCCCCGCGTCAGGCTCTGGGCTGATGGCTCGGAGCCTGGAGCCTGTTTCCCATTCTGTGTCTCCCTCTCTCTCTGCCCCTCCCCCGTTCATGCTCTGTCTCTCTCTGTCCCAAAAATAAATGTTGAAAAAAAAAATTAAAAAAAAAAAAAACAAAAAAAAAAAACAGACCAGACATTATGGAAAACATGTTCAGGCTGAGATGATGCCTAGGCTAGCCAGATTATTTTAAGCAATCAACTAATGCATGCCCTCTAACAGCCTATTTTTATGTATATTCATGTGCATACACTCATACACAAAATGGAATCTTGAAATAAAATTAATAAAGTCTAATCTATTCATTATTAAAGTGGATTATCTTGCATTTAGAAAAAAATTCAAATAAATTCAAGATATGGCCATTTTATATGTCCTTTATGTGACTTGAATATTACTGTATCATTTAGCTTTCTCCTAAGGGTATACAAAATTATTAGTTTAATTATTGTGTAAGGAAGGCTATTCAATCAATTTTCTAACCCTTTTCCACCCTTTAGTTGCTACATATTTGCAGTCAAAATGTCTTCATGCCTGCAATATCTAATCTCTCAGCATTGTTCTTTTGTGTATCATTTCTGCATTCAAAGTACCAAGGGGAAAATAATAGCCTAACCATTTTATGTGGAAATAAAGTCTTGAATGTATTTTAGAAAAAAAGGTGTAACAAGGCAGTGTGGAGTGGAAAAATTGAAGCCATGAAATTACATTTTACTTTCAAATTTGAATTTGTTTGTTGATGAAAAGTTTGATAGTGTCAGACAAGTGCCATATTTTAACTCTTAGCAATTTAGAACATACTGGACTCTGCTTTCAATTACTGATATCATTTCCTCCCCTTTGCTTACTTTCTAGATCGCTTTGCTATGCTAGCCAACAATAATCTGCAGATTCTCAACATCAATAAAAGTGATGAAGGTATATACAGGTGTGAAGGAAGAGTGGAAGCTAGGGGAGAAATTGACTTCCGTGATATCATCGTTATTGTTAATGGTAAGCAGAGAATAATTTGTACATATTTTATTGTTGCATTTTAGCAATATTTTTATTAAAAGGGCAACCCTGTAAATACGGCACTTTAATAACCTTTTTGATACCTGGAGGAAATCTCCCCACCTCTATGATCACATCTATTACACTGTCTTTAGTCTCACGGGCAGGATCTGCGACTTATTTAACACGGTCATCTTCTTTCACTCTTCTACTCTGTAAGGGAGTAGTTGCCTTTTGCTGGCTTTGTAGTTGTTGAAAGAATGCCAAGTGAAACATAGTAAAGTGTCATACTAGATTTGACTTTTAAATTGCATGAATCACTGGTGGCTTAAACTAATCTATTTAACAGTTTTGTAGGTTTTCTCAAATTTAAATTTAATAATTGAATCCACAAGGAGATTAATAACTAAGTTTATGGCATCACGATGACATCTCTTCTTCCAAATGTGGCTTCTCCTGCTGTATTTTCTGCCTGTGTTAACATGACATTCTATGAGCCCAGAAGATATATTAATGTTATCCTCCTAGTGCCTCCATTTTGATGATCTAATCTATAATTGACATATGCAACACACTTTTTAACATCTCTCAAATATATTCTACCATGATGCCCTCCATAAGAGTGCTGCCCTTTCAAATTGCTTTTCTTCTTTTTCTTGAATTGCTACAAGCTGTTTCCTCTTCTCTCAGTCCCATAATTCAACTTCTTCTCCATCCAACCTTTCACCACTTAAAATTGTCAATGCTTCCTGTTAACTTTGAGACAAAATTAAAACCACTTTTCATAGCATTGGATTTCTTTTATGGTCACCAACCCCTCTTCCCTAACATTCATTCATGAGTAGCCCATGCCTCAGCCATATGGAAATATTAGTACTAACACTGCACAAAATGCACTTTTGGTTTTTCTTCTGTTTTAAAATAAAAAGTTAGTGGTACCTATAATCCCACAGGGTTCTATAAGCAGAATGTCATTTGTTCTTTCTGGGATAGACAAAATCTAAAATTAAGGAGTTAGCCACACATTTCCTATGAGTTGGGGCTGGGACAAGGAGGAATAAATCTGTGTCTTCTTTTTTCTTTTTTTTTTTTTTTTTAGAGGATGCAGAATTATTATTTTTTTTATTTATATATGAAATTTATTGTCAAATTGGTTTCCATACAACACCCAGTGCTCATCCCAAAAGGTGCCCTCCTCAATACCCATCACCCACCCTCTCCTCCCTCCCACCCCCCATCAACCCTTAGTTTGCTCTCAGTTCTCAACAGTCTCTTATGCTTTGGCTCTCTCCCACTCTAACCTCTTTTTTTTTTTTTTTTTCCTTCCCCTCCCCCATGGGTTCCTGTTAAGTTTCACAGGATCCACCTAAGAGTGAAACCATATGGTATCTGTCTTTCTCTGTATGGCTTATTTCACTTAGCATCACACTCTCCAGTTCCATCCACGTTGCTACAAAAGGCCATATTTCATTTTTTCTCATTGCCACGTAGTATTCCATTGTGTATATAAACCACAATTTCTTTATCCATTCACCAGTTGATGGACATTTAGGCTCTTTCCATAATTTGGCTATTGTTGAGAGTGCTGCTATGAACATTGGGGTACAAGTGCCCCTATGCATCAGTACTCCTGTGTCCCTTGGATAAATTTCCAGCAGTGCTATTGCTGGGTCATAGGGTAAATCTGTGTCTTCTATATCCTTTCCCCATCCCGCCACGAGCTAGCTCTCCAGTTCTTTAAGACTGGACAACACTAGGAATCTCATATACTTCTGAAAGAGTTCACTGGTCTTTCCTTTTCTGCAATAAAGGCAGTTGAACCACAAAGTTCATGCTGAAAGACAAAGAGAATATTAAAACACTGCTATCTTTTTCTCTCCTTCTCCAAGTCTATAATTAATTGGGATTTGTGGATAATATAATGGAATAGAATAGGTGTTATGACAAGGAAGCTAGACAGGCTTGTAGAAATTGCACATGCTCATGGAGGAGGCCAAAGTGCCAGGCCTTCAGAAGAAAAGCTTTTCTTTTTTAGAGGTGTTGAGTCTGAATTTATGAAGAGCACTATAGTCTGGAGATTTTGACCTTCCACACAGGTGGAAGATTTCAGTGCATGAAGAATAGTTTTAAAATGGAGGTTTGTAGCTATATCTCCATCTATTCTATTATCTATGAGTATCTCTAAACTATTTCTGTCTTTATTATATACAGTACACATACATAACTTACATTATTTAGTTTAAATATTGTCTTAAGTTTCTAGTGTGCTTTATTTCCAAAATAATTTTTGTTGCCATATATAAATATATTTTGTCACAAGCAAATACTGTGTTCAGTATTCTTTTATGAAAATGGAGATTATAACATTAGTATTCTATGTAAAGTTTTGGAAGCAGTATATATTTACTATTAGATGTTATATATTCATATATATGTGTGTGTGTGTATATATATATATATATGTATATATATATATCAAATCAAGTCCATATTTTTACACTAAAACAGTAACTCAAATGTGATATAAAAAGAAATGAGGGGCACCTGAGGGGCTCAGTTGATTAAGCATCCAACTTTTGGTTTTGGCTCAGGTAATGATCTCAGGGTCCATGTGATCAAACCCCATGTTGGGCTCTGTGCTGACAGTTTGGATCCTGCTTGGAATTCTCCCTTCTCTCTGTCTGGCCCTCCCTTCTCTCTCTCTCTCTCAAAATAAATAAACATTAAAAAATTTTAATAAAAAAAATAAACGATGTCTGGCAGACATAGCATATTCACCCTTTATTAACTATTTTGCTATTGTAATTTTAATACAATATTAATATTAAATTAATATTTTAAATACTTTAACACATTTATAAATGTTCTAATCTGTTTCCACACTAGTTGACCTGTGAATTTTTATATATGATTACATTTATTTTGAAGGAAGCAAATTGTTTTCAATTAACAAAGTTTGAATCTTCGAGTCCATCATGGTAAGCGCTCAAACTGGAATATTTTGTTCTGTATATCTATTCCTATTATGCCGGGGTTCACAAGAGGATAAACACTGGATTGTGTTCTTTTGTGCCACTCAAATCAATCCTGTAGGTAGTTTTCTGTTCTGCCTGCATCCCACTGACCCTCCCAAAGGGAAATCATTCTCCTTCCACATCCCAATTTCCTCTAACAGAATCAACTACAGATCCTAATCTGACCTTTGCTCAAACACTGCTTTATCTCCACTCATTCTAATTAGTCACATTTCCCCTTTATGGTCAAAACCTCTCATACCTTAGAATTCCTGGCATCACTTTTCTTCAAAATAACAGTGTTCACAAAAATCAACCATCGATTTATTCGCCTTCTGGATGATACGTTTGGACCCTGTCAAGGGAATGCATTGACTAATGCCACCAGTTCATCCTTGCTTTTCTCTCACATTTTGCCTTTATTTCAGACAGAAGAGTCATTCTGCTACAGTCTTATTGACTCTTGTCCTGTTACTGGCTCCTTTTAAATGTTGAGCTCTCCTTAAAAGTATCTTCTTAATATTTCTCTCTTATAAAACCTCTTGAAGGTATTTCAGTGGAAAGTTCGAGGCTGCAAAAAATAACAATAAAATAAAAGCAATAGCTTTATCTACCTTATCTTTCTTCAACTACAAATATGACCTGTTCTATGACCTTTTCCTCAACTTATATTGAGAGCCCTCTCTCTTAATTGCTACTTATTTTTTTATCATGATTTGGATTTTATCCTGGACCTCCTTTCTTTGTCTCTTTCCCCCTCAAGTGCCCTGGAATCCTGACCAAAGGCTCCAGCAACTATTTATGTATATTCACTGCTTCCTTGTGAGATCTTAGCTCTGGAAAAAGCTCTGTTCTTTCTTTTATTGTTTGCTCCTTGAAAATTTTTCCCTCGTGTTTCTTTTCTTCCAATGCATATGCTTTTGTTTCAATAAATAATTGAAAGATATTTTTGCTAGGTTCCTCTTTGGTACCAACAATACTAAATCTTAGGAATATTTTTTTTTCTTAACTCCCTCTCTGACTTTCTTATCATATTTCTCAATGCCTGTGTATAGTTTTTTTGCAAACACTTTCTTTCCTCCCTTGAAGAGGTTATGTATTACTGCTCATTGACATGTGGATTGTGGCGCTTCCAGTGGGAGAGTTGTGCACCCCCACCCAACTGATGAAGCCACTTGTCCTGGCCAGTGGCACGTATAACCAAACAATATACACTATGACTGAAATTAGGCTGCAAGAAGAATGATATGGTTTTTTTTTATCATGTTCTTTCCTTCTGACATGAAACTAGCATGACCCCAAAGAGAGACTTTTCCATCACCTTGGATACCACAATGAAGACATGTGGAGCAGAGTCACAGCTGATCTGCAGGTGCAGACACATAACATAAATAAGAAATAGAGCACATTTTTTTAAGCCCTGAACTTTAGAACCGTTGTTTATTGCAGAAAAGCAGGCAAATGCAGTGCCAGTGGCCTTTTCCTACTTAAATAAGCAAATTAAACACTATATGACCTAGGGATACTTCTGAAATTACTTCCCTGAGTATGCTGCAGATGTCGTGTAATCCCATTTTCTTCTGATGGTGATCATTTCTTGAGATTTTCTTATCACCTTATCAGACAATTGGAAATCCAACTGAAGATTTTTGACTGCAGTTTCAGTATTAATTTATATTGCACTTGTGTATTGATTCAACAGGTACGTATAAAGTGCTAGCTATGTGTTTCACACTATGTTATGCTCAAAATACTATTGGGCTTAATGTATCATCATTTCCCTCAAGGCACTTCGAGTTTTATCTTACTAAAATAATCAACTTTACTAAAGTCCCTTATTGTTTATGGGACAGTTGGATACAAAAGCATTTACTAAAGGCAATTTTTATAGATATTCACAGACTATTTTTTAATAAGAAGGAGCACCTAATGTAGCTTAAGGGGAGACTTCCTTGGTATTTGGGATAAATCTATTGGTGGAAAAGT